GGAAATAATAATACTGGCACTACCCACCTCTCAGTATTTTTGTAGAAATTAAATGAGTTAAAATATGTATTTGAGTGTATTTGAAGCATTATGTATCATCTAGAGGAATTTGTTCACATTTAGGCCCTCCAGAAAAGCTACCCAGGTTCAAGGTACGGGTCTAAATTCCTATAGTTCACAAGTCGCCACCAGTGTGTTAACTTCTAGTGAGACAAAGTAGTAAGTAGTCTAAAACCAAGACACTGAAACAGTGCGACAAGGAGCACTAGAGCATTTGTGCCACAAATCTGGGTATACTTTCACAAACACATAGAATATCAGTAGAAATAATGGATGTGGTTAGGAGACAAATGTGGAGGGGCACACACATATAGAAAGTATGTGTGAACAGGCATAGTGAATGAAGGATACACACACCAGGAATAGGTGTGGCCCATGTTACCACTAGAGGGACAACTCTTGCCTCTTCTGCATAAAGTCACTCATATCTTTTGGTGATAGCTTCACACTGTTCTTGTTGACCTTTCTTCTTGATGGGAGTTGTATCCCATCTCATCTCTGCTAATCCCCTCTTCTCTCTCTTTGCACATTTATCATTGTTTCCACCTCCTGGGCACCAGCCAGAGTCCTCAGCTACCTCTTCCTCACAGGAACAAGAGCATAAGAGGCAAAGGGGGAAAAAACTCAGTGGCTTTTCTTTCCAAAAAGTAAAGAGAGGTCTTTCAGTTCCCAAATTTAATTTTTAGGTATCAAACTCTTTGGGAGCATGAAATGGTCAAGTTAGCTAATTATCATGCTCAAGCATTTTATCTGTCTTTGAACCCTCTTCCTTCTGCTAATGGGATCTGAATCCTTATTGCATGCATTTATCTCATTTAGGGTAAAAAGATGTTCTATTTGACACTCTCGTAGTTATCCCATGCCCCTAAACCCATTGGGGCCCTGCCAGACAAACCCAATAGAAGCTGTATGTATTTCCCAGTATCTTCCCTCAGTCATCCCAAGGTTCTTCGGGTCGCCCATGCAAAATAATATTGGGGGAGGCAAGAGTAACAGTAGCCACCAAAGCCAGATGCTTTAAGTCCTAGCACTCTGCCTTCAGCCTTTATTTCAAATTCTTGCCTTTATATATACATGGCTAGTAACAAGCTCCCCAGGTCTTCAGTGTCCCTGTAATTATAAATCATGATAGAGAAACTAAGTTATCATCGTCATTCTCATCTTTATTAGTATTGAAATGCTAGAAAGGAGAGAAAGAGGGCAAGAAAATATGGGACAGGAAGAGAAGGGGGAAAGAGTGAAGAAACACTGGGCCATGAATCAAGGAGAAACTGTTCTTTTCTTTTTACATTTTATTTATTTCTATTTTTAGTTTTCAACATCAACTTCTATAAGATTTTGAGTTCTAAATTTTCTCCCCCTCTCCAGTCCCTCCTCCTCAAGATGGCATTCAACCTGATATAGATAATATGTACAATCATATTAATCATATTAAGGAGAAACTTTTCTAGAAAGCCTTGGTGAAAAGAGGTGAGTGGGAAGGGAGGAACTGTTCATTACTCTTTCTAAGGTCAGACGGGAATACACCTATACAAGAGATGTAATATAATATAGTGGAGGTGGTGTGGTGGTAGAAGGACTGGATTTGGCACTAGGAGAAATCTAGGCTTGAATCTTCCTGGGTAGCTAGGTGGCACAGTGGATAGAGCTCTGGGCCTGAAGTCAGGAAGACTCCCTGTCATGAGTTCAAACCTGGCCTCAGACACTTCCTAGATGTGTGATCCTGCACAGGGTCACTCAACTCTGTTTGCTTCAGTTTCCTCATCTGTAAAATAAGCTGGAGAAGGAAATGACAAACCACTCCAGTATCTTGGCCCAGAAAACTCCAAATAGGATCATGAAGAGTTGGACAGGACTGAAACAACAACGACAACGACAAAGTCTGAATCTTGCCTACAGTCCTTACTGTGTGCATGACCATGAGTGACACTCTTACCCTCTTTGCTCTTTAGTTTCCTTATCTGTAAACTGGGCAAAACAATACCTGTACTTTCTATAGCACAGTGTTTTTGTGAGGGCACAAACGAGATAAAGTATTTTGCAAACCTTAAAGCACTGTTGAAATGGCAGTTTTTACCAGGACAGGAATCTTATTCTTTGGTGGGTAACGGTATACTCTTGAGTCCCAAAGCTAGGAATGGAGGATTCCTCTATTAATGGGGTATTGGGGTCAAAAAGATCCCCTATAATCTATGAACAGGCCTAATTTATGAGGTTCCCTGCCCATCCATGGATTCCTTCTCTTGACTTCTAATACTACTCTGGCTCCCTTAAGTGTGAGTGTGATGTATGTATTTCACTATGCATAGCTTCTCCAGGCTGAAGGAGAGAGAGAAGCCTGAAGTCAGGCTGCGGTGCCCTGGAATCTGTTCTCCATGACATCATAGGAAAGTCTTCTCTGAGAGGAAGAGAAAATTGAATAGACAACCTGTCCCCACAGGGCATCCTGTCCATTCAGTCTCCATCTGTCCATATCTTGTACAGCAAGCTACCCAAGAACCACTCTATTTTAATTCTGGGCTTAGTTGAGGGGTATGCTGGGGTCAGCTTTTTATCAGTTCATGAGAGCCAGCTGTTAAATTTTCAGTGTGGTAGTTAGCAAATATCTGAGGCCAGAGTTGAATTCTGGTCTTATTCCAGGGTTGGTACTCTATCCATTGTGCCACCAAACTATCCCGTGGCAGGAGTGAGATCTCTATGCATAAAAAGCATGCATAGCAGCTTCATTTATACTTTAAAAAAACATTGAAACAAACCACATACTTATCCAATGATGGTGAAAAGGGGCAACAAATAGTTAACGCTGCATGTAATGGAATATTTTTTTGGGCCACAAAAAGAACATAAAAGAGACAATAAGGTTTAAGGTAGCACTTTGACAGACTTAGGTCAAGAAGACTTGGGTTTAAATCTTGTCTCTGACACTGTGTGACCTTGGGCAAGTCATTTAACATTTATATGCCTCAAACAACTATCTAGGACTCATCTGCTAAACCATAGGCAAGTTGCAATATGTGTAAACATAGCATATTGCTTAGCACAGTGTCTGGAACATAGTAAGCACTTGGTTAATAAAAAGAAAAAAAAGAAAAAAATAAATTTTCAGTGTGAGTATTCACATCTCTGAAATGGGCAATAAGCACACCTCTGAAGTGGGCAAAAAATAGGTTTTGTCCAATGTCTAAATGTAAGAAAATGATGGAGAAAATGTTGACAATGAAGATTAAAAGTTAAACTTAAAAGTATGTCCTGCTTCCATTCTTCTCCCTACTGTGAGAGCTGGTTGTTAAATATTTACCAACACATCACTGTCTTGGTTCCAATGAAGAATGCTAAGGGATGGTGTAGGAAACAGGCCTTAGGGATGCTCCATTTTGGGGAATGTGATCCAGAATTGAGTTAATCCCTAATCAAGGGCTCCTCTCTTTGTCACTATCTTCAATATCTGAGATGGACCATAGATTTCCAAGCGAGCTTATTGCGAGCACTACTTGAGTTACAAAGCACTAATCCATGGTTGGTTATATTGGATTTGCTGATTTTTTCCAATGGAGGGAGAATGTGGGGGACCATGTAAAGAAAGTTACCCTCACCTAGTGAAGGGGTAACATCTATTTTGTCTGAATTAATATGTGAAGGGCACACACAAAATCATCCAAAATGTTTCAACAAGTAGTTGAGTCTGAAAGATGGCTGAGGAAGGCAGAAGAATGTAGTAAGCAGTGCATTTCTAGCCTCCTAGAAGGTTGGGAACCATAAGTGGCAGGTGTGAGTGGTTGGAGGGGAAGGAAGAAGATGCCTACTCTGGGGAACATGTAGCCTCCAAGATCAACTCAAAAACTCTGTAAGGGGTTGACAAATGAATTACCCAAGCCCCTGCCCCAACAAGTGCCATCTCCTATTTCCCCCTATACCCTCAGTCTTCTTGAGAGAGACTGAAGGCGGAGTGAGGGTCTAGGACTGGGCAACATCTCTGGGAAAATCTTGTTGCAATGGGGCAATGTTCACAATCCCTTCCAAATTTGAGTCTTCTTTGGTCGCAGAATAGGAATCTGTGGGGCAAAAGCAGAAAAGCCCAGTCTGAAAAAGCTGTAGTCCTCCAGTCTTTATTACCTTGTCCCATACAATCATTCCAGGCTTAGGATTAGGAGAACCATGTTGGTCCCAGCAAAGAGTCTTAACTCTGTGTGTGTATGTGTGTGTGTGTGTGTGTGTGTGTGTGTGTGTAGAGACAGACACAGAGAGAGAGACAGAGAGACAAAGACAGAGACAGAGACAGAGGCACAGAGAGACACAGAGATAGAGAGGACAGAGACAGAGAGACAGAAACAGAATCAGAGAGGCAGAGCAAAGGAAAGACAGAGATATAAACAGAGACAAAGAGGTAGAGGCAGAGAAACAGAGAAACATAAACAGAGGCAAAAAGATAGACAGACAGAAAGAAACAGATACAGAGACATGAATCGTAAGGCTATCAGAATGTTCAACATAAGACAGGAATATCTTTACTATCCCTGGTAGAGGAGATGAGGGAAAGTGTATGTTCTCTATATTTTGATAAACTTCAAAATCCTCTTCGGTACTGATGTGGTGTTTGGTGTCAGGACAGAGAGCTTCATGGAGTGTATAAATCCTGTATCTTTACAGAACTCTCTGGAAGGAGGCCACTGATGGCTACAAGAAGCTTGAGGAGACACAGGGGGAAGAGCTTTCCTCTTTTTGTCTCAGGTGCCTGGTCTAATGTATTTTGGTTCTTCTAGAGCTAACTTGGTTCTGGGAGATTGGATTTTAATAGCTCCCTAAATCCTAATGTTTGACCTTATAGGTTCAGTTCCCTCCCTGGGATCAACACAGAAGGAAGTTACAATCAGAGCCAGAGTCCAAAACCTTATCTAAGAACCTCTTCTCCCAAATGGTAAGCTCTGGCACCCTTCTTTTACCTTTCAAACTTCTAAGGTGGATGACAAGTCCCACTCCAAGTAAGATCAGTCCAAGCACCAAGCCCCCAATTCCAGTCAGCATCTTAGTCCGGGCAGATTCAGACTGTGCTCCTGGGAAACACAGATCTTGAGGTTACTATACATCCATCTGCTCTAACTTAGGGTCTCTGCTAGAGGTCCTGGAGCCCCTCTCAGAGTATGGGGGTTTGGAAAAGATTGAGGGAGCCTCTGGGAGGGAAGAAGGGAAATAACAAAGGACCATTTTTGGAATCAGGAATTAAGGGGGCTCATTTTAACCTACTGGTTTCAGATACTAGTTTTTCTACACTGGGGTTTCTAAAGGAGAATCAAGAGACCCTGAAAAGGGATTATCTGTTGCAACTGAAGGCTCATCAGGAAAATAACTGGAGCCTTTATATCTCTTGTAAGGGAGAGGACTAGGATTCCCCATGTGCTCTGCCCTGGAATAGAGATCCTCCAGGAGTTCAGGGTTTATGTTGGAGGGAGCAGATTGAATGTGAGAGATTTCAGGAGACAGAGACAGTACACTCGCTCTAAGGGTCCCTGGAGTCTTCCCTATCTCTGGAGTGTAGGGACCAGGGACTCAAGGAATCAACTCGGGGCAGGTAGGTGGTACAGTGGATAGAGCTCCAACCCTGGAATCAGGGGGACCTGAGTTCAAATCCGGTCTCAGACACATAATACTTCCTAGCTGTATGACTCTGGTCAAGTCACTTAACCCCAATTGCATCACTTGATTAAAAAAAAGAAAGAAATAAGCTCTTACTCCAGTCTACGGTGATAGGGCTCTGCAAGCTGACATGGTCCACATGGCAAGTAAAGACATCTCCTCTTTGGGGGGTCACTTCTAGCATCACAAGGGTCTGGAAGGTCCAGTCACCATTCTGGATTTGGCCTGTGGACAGGACTCCAGACTTTTCTTCTTTTGCATTCCTGAACCAGCTGACCTTGATCTCACCAGGATAGAAACTGGTCACGGAACAGAGGAGCAGGTTGTGGTGCCCAAGTGGTTGTATCTTTGAGGGGAAAACCTTCACTCGGGGCTGAACTAGATGAGACATAGACTCATTAGGAAGATGAACTGGTGTCTGATCTTCTGGCCCTTCCTATCTCTGTAGGTCTGTATCCCCTTAGCCAACCCCTATGACTTTAAGATACTCCTTCCTGATTTCCTTCTGCATTAATTCCTTCCTATGAGGCCTCACTTAGGTGCCATTTCTTTCATGAAAATTTCCCTGATTTCCCCAGATGAAAGGGGAGCCTCTTCGCTCAAATTTTCCCAAAGCACTTTGGAATGCTCATTCTACTTTGTATCATACTTACTTGTGTAAAAATTCTTACTGAAGCCCCTTTAATAGATTCTAAGTCCATTAAGATCAGGGACTAAATTGTTTTTATTGGTATATCTTTAGTGTCTTGCATAGACCTTTACGAATAACAGGTACTTAATTTTTAAAGATGGAATTGAAAGCAAGAGAAAAGATAGGTAAGGAAGGCAGTAGAGTCCAAAAATTCAATTCAGTTCAACAAATGTGTATTATCTACAACCTGCATGGGCAAAGCATAGGATGTCAACATGGATAGAGTAGTGGACCTGGAATGAAGAAGACCTGGGTTCAAATGCTACCTTTGATACTAGCTCAGTCTTAGTTTTGACACTTGACTGTCAAACAAGACAAATATACCTGTACTACCAACTCATGGGGTTGTGGTGAGGCTCAAATGAGGTAATATATGTAGAGAGAGCTTTGCAAACTTCATACATATAAATGTACCTTATTATTATTATTATAATACAATGTGGCATTGAGATTGAAGAAGGTCTAGTGATCCCTCTCCAGTGACTGATCCAGAGTACTGTATTGTTCATTTTAGTTTCAGGACTTAGAAAGTAGCTGATCCCTCTCCAGGTAGGTATAACAATTTAAATAAATGCCCTGAAATTTGTTTTTGATTTCCCCAATATGGGATTTTTTTTTTCACAAGAAAATTACTTAATTGAGTGTTGCTTTTCCTGAAACAAAGATCACCTTGTGTGAACTGTTCCAAAAACACGAGGCTAGATTTTAATCTCTGTCTCCAATTGGTCAAGGAAGACAAGTCATCTGCTCCTGCTGCCCTTTAAAAGTGAAGATTGACATTCTAATGAGTTCAATGGTGGTGGGACTATTTCACCAAACTATATACCACTTTGAAATGGAGAATAGAGAGGTGTCTTGTGACATGGAAAGGTTACACTTGCTATTTATCTCTGAACAACAGCTAGGAAAGTAGAAGCAGTTTCCATATGGTGGTGAAACTGTTAAGTCTAGGCCTCTCCAATCCAGTGGAATGAATGAATAAAGGATTTATTAATATATTCATTTATTGCACATGTATACTATGTGCAAAAGCACTGTGCCAAACCCCAGGGATACAAATAGAAAGGTAAGTCAGTCTCTGCTCTCAAGGCACTCACATTTTAATGAGGGAGTCAAGGGGGAAGAGAAGGGAACACACATTCATTAGATGTTTAATATGTGCCAGGCACAGTGCTAAGTGCTTTACAAATATCAACTCATCTAAACTGTTCAGGAGGTTTCAGCTACAAGTCAGAAGCATCTCCTCTGGGGGCATCACACACTCACCCTTTCCTTCCAGTGAATTGGTCCCTGCTTGCAGGGGTGCTCACAGAAATGCCTGGATATGGCAAGGAAAGAGACAAAAGAAAACCCAATTCTTTCTCCTTCCCCAGAGCCTTTTCAGTTGGTCCATACATTTGTGATTGGAAGAACAACAAAAGCCATGGGAAGGAATGTTCTGAACTACCCACAGAGCTATAGATTTCACCTTCTCAAGTCCTGAATGCTTATACTTGAATCAATTCTTCCCATAGATTTGAGACTCTATATTCAACCTAAGTCTCTTATCATACTAATTTCTCTCTCATCTCCTGAAATGCCCTACTAGTGCCGCCTAAATGGCTTCATGTTAAACCAAAAGGGGCCATCTGGTGCCCAGAGGCCTCTCCCACTGGTCTGGTAATCCTCTAAACAGACCCAGTTTGTGCAGGGGAAATGATCATTGCTTCCCTTTGTCTTTCTCAGTTCCTTGAGTTTCCCCTTCAAGGAACAAGCCCCGCCCTCCCACTGGAGAGAACATGATTTTTCCTTTACCTCTCAGACTTCTTTAGTCCTAATTCTGGCTCAGCCTGAGAAGTCAGGGAGGGATTATTGGAGAGTTTAGGGGAGATGGTTGGAGTTTTCTTGCTCTAGTAATAATGCCTTATATTAATATAGAATTTTATAGGTTTCAAAGTGTTTTCGTATATATTCTCATTCTCTCTTTACAGGAACCCTGTGAGATAGGCAGGACAAGAATTATTTATCCTAACCATAGCAATGAGGAAAACTAGTCTGGAAAAAGTGAGGTGACTTGCCCCAAATTACATGGCTAGTAAGTAGATCAGGATTAGTGACCAGTGAATGTGACTCCTAGTTCAGTTCTCTTTCCACTGCATGTGCCACCCATATCAGCCAAGGTCCCTTTTTTGAGTCCCCTACTCACCTTTCCTTTGCACTATGAGTTTATCATATAAAAGGTAATTGTGTCTGCACACATTCACTATGGACCTTGCAGTCTTGACTATTTCCTTCTGACTGTTCCATTTCTGGACTTGGGATCTCCACAACTCCATTTTTGCCTCAAATAGTCCCACGTCACTGTCAAAGTGCACAAACTCCTTCCGGTCATAGATGAGTCTTCCCACAAAGCGGACCCGTTGGGTTCCATTGGTCATGTGACACTCAGACCTCACCTGATGTAGGTAATTCTCTGGGGAGAGAGACCAGGCTATTATTATAGAGGATCCCTCCCACCAACCTAAGACAAAATTCCACTTCCCTCATCTTTGAGTGGGAGATATTCTTCTAATACTGAATCTTGGTTAAAAACAGGTAAATCTCATATGTGTTTGTGGAGGTATATTAGAGTCAAATTCAGGCAGCCTGATTTGTTCTAGCTTTTCCTCCTTCAGTCACACCTGCCAAGCCTTCCCTAGCTCCTCCTCAGATTTCCCTGACATATAGTCTCCACCAGAAGGTAGATTATTAGCCTTAAATGAGCCATTATAGTTTCCAGCAGGGCAGCTAGGTGACCCCGTAGTACCTAGAATGCCGGGTCTAGAGTCAGGAAGACCTCAGATACTTACTACCTGTGCGACCTTGGGCAAGTCACTTAATCCTATTTGCCTTGATTTCCTCATCTGTCAAATGAGCTAGAGAAGGAAATGACAAACCACTCCAGTATCTTAGTCAAGAAAACCCTCAATGAACTCACAAAGAATTGGACATGATTGAAAGTGACTGAACAAAGCAGTTTCCAGGAGGTGACATGCACTGAGGCTGAATGCCAGGCCAAGCAAATCTCTTTATTCATGCGTGTTCTTCTCCTTACTTATAGTCAATCAATCAACATTTTTTCAAGGACTTCTTATACTTCAGAGCTCTGCGCTAATTATGTGTGAGGTACACACACACATGTGCCTCACACACATATATCTGTATGTATGTACAGATATGTGTATATAAAAATATGTGTATATGTATATGTAATGTGTGTGTATTTCTGAGGATAAAAAAAGAAATGGGACCAAAGTCTCAAAAAGAAACATTTTCTTTGCCAACATGTGGTCCTCAGATATTTGTTTACTGCTTTGATTTCCATCTTGTTCACCCTCATATACTAGGAAGAACTACCTAGCCTTTAAAGTGAGTATGAAATTGCTCATTGCTGGCATTCTGAAAATATGGTCTCATTTTTCCTACTCAAAGTATCGTTCATGGCTCCAAAAAATGTCCCTGCCTCTCTAGTCAGATTGTTCTTCTCATTGTCCCACTTACAAGCCATATTTTTTGTGGCTTCTTTGTCTTTGTTTATGGAGTCACTTCTTCCTCTCTGCTGTATTTATTTATTTGAACAAATCTTAGTTTTCAAGGCCCAGTTCAATTCCCACTTACTCCATTAAAGGCTCCCCCGACAGCTTTGATTCATAATATTCTCCTCACTTCCCTGGCTTCTAGATTTCCATGTCGTGCTGTCTCATCCTGGAACTTCCCTCATCTCCTGGGGCCTCCTTGCCCTGGAATATCCAACTATCCCTGTGGCCTTCTCAACATAGAACGTCCCATTGTAAGGCCTACTTCCTTCTCCCATTGATGAGTTGCTCCTGGAGTCTCCATTTTTGGAAGGTTCAAGGTTGACTTTCACTCTCTTCCCTGTTCTGTTCCTGGCTTCTGGATTTCAAAACCATTCCTCTATGCCAGTTACCTTCACATCTCTCCCTCCCTCCCTGTCTGCCGCTTTTAAGCTCCTTTTTCTATGTTGTCTTCTAGATTAGAAAGTAAGTTCCTTGAGGGTATGAGCTGTCTTTCTTTTTGCTTGTATTTGTATCAGACGTGCTCAGCATAGTGCCTATTAGATTTCATTGTTATTCAGTCATTTTTTAGTTGGGTCTAACTTTTTGTGACCCCATTCAGGGTTTTCTTGGCAAAGATACTAGAGTGGTTTGCCATTTCCTTCTCCAGCTCATTCTATGGATGTGAAAAATGGAGGCAAAGAGGATTAAGTGATTTGTCCAGGGTCACACATCTGGTAAGTGTCTGAGGCCAGATTTGAACTCAGGGAGATGAGTCTTCCTGCCTCTGTGCACTATGGTGCTACCCTAATCTCCAAAGTGCTTAATAGATGTGTGTTTCCTTCCATCCCTAGCACTTGTTATACCAATATTTTAGAGCTTAAAGACTGTCTTATACTGTTTTCTAATTGCTTCATGAATGTGTCTGGTCTCTTTAATGAGATTACAAGTCCTCTGAGGGCAGGGACTGTCTTCTTTTTGTGTATCCCCCCACATTGCCTAGCGTGGTGCTGAGAGTTCAGTGGGCACTTTAAAAAAATCCAATGTTTAAGTAAAGAAAAGGAATAACTTCTGGAATTTTTCTCTCAAAACATAAGATCAAAAACGTCCTCAAGATGGCAGAATGGGGCCTAGCTCAAACACACGGACTTCAGCAAGGAGGAAAAAAGAGCACCAGACCACATAATGACCACGACATCTGAGGAAAAAATATAGTAAGAACATTTTTTCATTTTCCCTTCCCAAGTCTTTAAAAAGAAGTGGTCAGAAGCTTCTAGTTACTGGTGTTGGGGGTGGTGGAGAGGAAGATGAGGACAGGATCCAGCTAGAAAAGTCTGCTTGCAAACACAGCACAGGGAAGCCTTTCCAGTATTTGGACAGTTTTAGCTTAGGGAAGTCTGCTGTTGTATACCCAAGGTCAGAGAGGTGGGAACTTGACCATGGACTAGCCAGAGATATCTAGAGGCTACAGTTGTGTCACACTGACCCTGAACCAAGAGACAGGAGCCTGCCGATTTAGAACCTGGAGGGCAATTATCAGCCTACACTCTGTATTAGGTTGCCTTGGCTTAAATCATTAATGAGTTATAACACACAGTGCTCATTACCCAGGCCACAGGTAATCTAGATCAGGACCAAGGAAGCCCCTACTATTCCTTTTGGAGATGTACAAAGGCTGGCCATGACACAGATTCCCATTTCAGGGGGTAAAACTGGCAAAATGAAGAAATAAAAGTAAACAGTAATGATCAAGAAATACTATGCAGCCAAGAATAACCAAGACACAGATTCAGAGGCAGAAAATAATTCTACAATATCCATAACCAAGTCCTGAAGCAAAGACACAGATTTGCCACAAGCTTTACTGGGATTCCTAGAAGAAATTAATCAAAGGTTTGAAAATGATAATATAAATGAAATGAGACCTCTAGAAGAAAGAACAAGAAAGTTAAAGAAAGTTCCAAAGGAAAGAATTGGAAGGGGGATTAACAGTTTAGTATGGGAGGTGCAGAACCTTAATTGAGTAACAGATTCCTTGAAAATTAAATTGGATCCAAGAGAAATAAGTGAATCCATGGAACACTAAGAAATACTAGAATGGAAATAAAGGCCTGAAAAAAGAAGAGAATGTAATATATTCATATAAAAATGTAATATATTTTTATATTTCATGTAGAAAACAACTCATTTAAAAAAATCAAAGAGAAATAACCTAAAAACCATAGGACTATCTCAAAACTTTAGCCATGAAAAATCACAATTATAATATTTCAAGATAACATGAAGCAAAACTATCCATGCCTATTAGAACCAAAGGGCAAGATGAAAATAGAAAGAATTTTCCATTCAGTTTCTGAAAGAAATCCCCAAATGAAAACTCATAGGAATACCTTAGTCAAAATTCAGAGCTTCTAGGTCAAAGAAAAAAGAGAGCTTGGAATATATTTTTCAACAACACAAAAGATAAAGTCTTACAACCAAAAATAACTTACCTGGAAAATGGGATATAATTTTGTGGAGGGAAAGAGACCTTTATTAAAATAGAAAATTCCCAATTATTCCTGATGGAAAGGACAGAACTGAACGAATGCTTTGAAATACAAACACAAGAGTCAAGAGAAACATAGAACAGCAAATATATTTTAGCCATCAGAAGGAATCATATGATAATGATGTGTTTATATTTCAATAAGGAGAGAAGAAACAAATTTCTCTTCAAAACCCTGTTCTTTCTCTGCAAAGGTCATAGAGGGAGTAAATAAGATAGAAGGTTTGGGAGTAGTTTGTTTCAGTGATCCAAAAAGAAAAAAAGAAGGAAATAGGAATATAGTATGGAAGAAAAAAAAGGAGAAAGAAGCTGAATCTTAACTATCTCACATAATCTGGGTGAGTGGGAGGAAAACTATTTTAAGTGTGGGAAATGATGTGGGGAGAGAGGGATATACTTGAATGTCACTTTTATCTGAATGAGGCAAGGGAGAGTTGAATATATACATTCTCTCTCTCTCTCTCTCTCTCTCTCTCTCTCTCTCTCTCTCTCTCTCTCTCTCTCAGATGTTTCTCCATGTGGCCTAGATATACCTGGCATCCCAGGTATATCCCAGGTATAGAGACTTGTGATTCTCAAGATCCAACCTTCTTTCTGGAGAAACTTTTCCTAGTCTAGGTTTTGTGTCCTATTGCTAATGACACCAGACTAACCAATGCCATCTCTTTTTTCTCTCCCTGAAAGTACTGCAATTGTAACTCTATCCTAAGATCAAGGGCTCTCTTTACATTTAAAGTAGTATGGAAAATAAGAGACATTAAGCCCAGTTTTCTCTCCTAGAGGATCTCAGCCTCTGCTTGCTTTTCCTAGGAAGTAGATGCTTTGTACTTACCTGGAATGTCCCTGCCCCAGGCTGTGGGCCTGCTCAGCACCATTAATAAGACTGTCATACAGAGGCTTCCCAGAAGCTCCACACATACCATATTGGAGACAAGGATGGAACTGGTGATTAAAAGTTGCAGCATGCTTCCAATAAGGTCTGCCCTCCACATCTCGAAAAGCACAATGCCTCTGAATTGGGCAGCTTCTAATCAGGAAACCAATTAGCATCAGATACAAGCAGCAGCATCAGTCACTAGGCAGAACTGTAATGCATGGGTTCCGAATTGACACTTTGCACCACTGGGCACATTTGGCTCTCTTTCATGTGAGTGTCTGAGCATGCTGTGACATGACCCTCCATTCATTCTGTCTTCTGTGCACAGCTAATGCTGGACTAAAATAAGGTCAAGTCATGCATGTGCTCTAAGCAAGCTTTGGAAATTGCACCCTCTTTGAGTCACTGTCTGATGGAATCCATGAGACTCCACTGTAATACATCAATTGACATCACAAAATAAATACCTGAATACCATGGAGAGCAGATTTTCTACTATAGAAAATAAGTGCAAGGGGGCAGATAGGTGGCACAATGGTCAGAGCACGGGCCCTGGAGTCAGGAGGACCTGAGTTCAAATCTGGCTCAGACACATGATACTAACTAGTTGTGTGACCCTGGGCAAGTCACTTAACCCTGATTGCCTTGCAAAAAAAAATAAGTGCAGTCTTAAAAAGTAATGTTACGTTGGGCCCTTTGTATTATATTCTGTGTGTTAGATGTTGAGTCACTTGACTCTCTTGTCCAACTCTGGTCCTGGTTTTTCCCTGGACCCATTCCTCTAAATCTTCTACCACTGGTCATGCTCCTATGTGCATTCCAATGGAAATAACTCAATGCAAAAATTGAGAGGTGAAGAAGAGAGGAAGAGTTTCTTAAGTTAGGTAACAGGTTTTGTTGATGGTTATAGGACAACTGTGCTCCTAGGATTCCTTGTGGATGAGAGGCTTATTTGTCTGTTTTGCTATTTTTGCTACTTTGCTACTTTTCCTCCCAGGCTCACTTCATCTCTTGAGGCAAGAGTTGACAATAGTTAAATGATGCTAATTATTTATATAATAACCCCCTATGCTCACAGTCACCACCCTCAGTACTCTCAGGATGCCCCCAGCACTCTGTTGCCCCAATACTTACCCTGTTCCTTTGAGGTCTGGGCTGTGATTCTTTGGATAAACTGGCCCCAAGTTATTTAGCCTCCCCAAGCTACTGTACTAGGTACATACAGGATTCTTACTTGCTATCCAATCCTGATAAAACCATCTCTGGCTTTAACCCCTAGCATGAGTGAGTCCCATCAGCATAGGGTGTTGTTTTCAGGAAGGAGTAACGCAATCAGAGGAAGTAGTTTATCCCCAGGGCCCACTTCTCCCCAAGCCATTCACTAAATTCTGTTCAGGGTCGGCTAGGTGGTGTAGTGGATAGAGTCAGGAGCATCTGAGTTCAAATTTGACCTCCAAAACTAGCTGTGTGTCCCTGGGCAAGTCACTTAACCCTGTTTGCCTCAGTTTCCCCATCTGTAAAATGAACTGGAGAAGGAAATGGCCAACCACTCCAGTATCTTTGCCAAGAAAACCCCATGGTAGAGTTGGACATGACTAAATGACTGAATAACAAAAACAAACTCTATTCACCTCTGCTTATACTGCATAGCTCCTTATGTATATAACATAGTCATTTACTCACAACTAAAAAAATCAGAATTCATTAGAAAAAAACCAAAATGATTCCTATCCTTGTGTCTCAGACCTAAAATTGCTGCAAGTTCCAAAGAAGTGGAGCATACCCAGGTCCCTGTATTTAGCTATATAATTATACCCGTATTTGTGGGGGATGGAGAATGGGATTAAGTGTCACTCTCACTGACATTACACTAGAGGTAGCACTGGAGGAGCTAGAAAAAGATGTTTGGGTCACACTGAGAAAATTTTAGGCTGTGTTGAGAGTGTTTAAGGGGTGGGGGATATGCAGAGAAAGGATACAATCTCCCCATACACTGTGCATAACTGGCTCATAGTTAGTGATGATTCCATGCTCTTCCACGTCATGCTTCGAAGAAGTTGCTTTGTTAGGCTTTTATCTTGTCCATGTGAGCATGAGTTCTCCCACTGGGTTACAATCTTAAGATTTTATACAATCCTTTAAAAGCAATAAGGCTTTTAGGGGCCGTCCAGGGCAAGCCCCTCATTTTGTACCACAGGAAACTTAGTTCTCAATGTCATGCCCCATGTCATGCAGCTCATAGCACAGCCAGGAAGAGGAATATGTGTCCTAACTCCAAATCTGATGCTTTCTTCCATGCTACTTACTGCAGAAGCAAATAATCTGAGTTCTTCAGAGTTGTATTTAGTGATCAGATGTATTAGTGTTGAGCGTTTCTTTCTGCTGTCTTTCCTTCCAAGCTTTACCAGAAATGGTAATTGAACATGGTCCAACGGTGGTGGCATGGAATGGAGGGAGAAGGCACTTGCTCCAATAGAAATACTTGAATAGCAAATATTCAAATAACTGTTTGGAGGACAGTTAACTCAGTTGACATTCCTCTTTGTCAATTGAATATCTTGGTTTGATAGAAGAAGACTGGATATTATGCATTCTTATGAAAATCCTCATGGGAAGCTTTAGAAATTTACAATTTAAGGATAGATTATTAATGATGCATTTTATGATGTTAAGTCATAATGGGTTCTTGCATCTTTAAGGACTTAAAGATGTTACAAATCACAAAGATTAAAAAAATTGTTTTATGAGAATAAACTGAATTAATCCGGTTATGAAATTAAAATATCTTCTGAAACTACAAAGTAGATACTAGTGCTTGCTAGCATAGACTATTTTGTTTTGTAAAGCTTTTAAAGTTTTTAAGTTTTCAAAAGCTACCAACTAGTAGATTTTAAATGTAGAGGCCTATTGAACTTTAGCCAGACATATATGATTTAATTTCACTTATATATAAATTTGAAACTCCAATACTTTACTTTACTTTACTTCTTTACTGTGTTCTTCCGTCTCCTCTTAGACTCTTTACCAGGCAACAGAGGCATCAACTCAAAGGCTCTGTCTTGATTGGCCAGGTCTTGCTCAGTGGAAATTCCTTCATTCTGGGCTGTTAACCATAGCCAGTCTGGCACCGTATCCTTCTGTCTCAGGTGTTGCAGATTGTGGATTTTTCACTTTTCGTGTCTCTGAAAGGAGAATGACTTCCAGTCTAGACTCAGTCTTGGGGATCCTCATCCTGGCTGCCCTGCTGATCAAACAAAGAACCTGGGCCACTAATGGTGAGACTTTCTGTTATCAGGTAGATTCTGGAGTCCCCAGTGTGGGGCTAACACGCCTCCTCAGGAGTGTGAGGATGGAACTGGGAAACTTAGTTTTCAACATCGTGGCCCATGTCATGTGGGGGGAGCGCAGGTAGAAGAATCTGCTCCATTAGAAACATTTTATTAGTAAATATTCCAATAGTTGTTTGACTCCTGGGACTGAGTTTTATTAGGAGACTAGCTGTACAGTGGAAAGAGTCAGATGCCATCTCTGATGCTTATTACCTGGGTGACTTTGAATGAATCACTTAACCTCAATGGGCCTCAGATTTTCTTACCTGTTAAATGAAGAGGTTGGACTGGTTCCTTATGAAATCTCTTCTAGCTTTAAATCTGTGACCCCTATGCTCTATGACATGTGGAGGTTACCAGGATGGTGTGCAAAATTCTTTGGCTTCTTATTTTGGGGATTGGGATTCATGGAAGGGATATAAGAGGTTATTGCTAAAGTGAGCTCATGCTTTTTGCCCACTGACCTCAGGAGTCTCATATAGAGGTTTACAGAGTTTGTGTGACCAGTCACTGTTCTGTGCTAGAAGTCCCCAGGGAGTTTGGGCCGCAAGAGATTGTCTAGAATGGTTCACATGTGGGCCTGGGAGGCCCTGCAGACCTCAGACCCCTTCTTGAATTTGGGGCCTCCATTCCCTTTGCAACCTTCACAAGACTGTGCTCCTGAGCCACTCTTTAGGCTATGGTGCAGCTTTTTGGCATATGTGTCTCTTTATGAACAAGTCCAATGACCAAATTCCTTACCTACCCCTACCCCACAATCAAGATATATGCTCTGCCAAAAGATTCTCCCACACTTTGTGAATGGGCTTAAATATTTGAAATTGAGACTGTATCAGGAAATCCAGAATGTATAATCCATGAAACCCTCTGGTATCACATGTGCCTGAAGCTAGCCTCCATGCACAAGCCACTAGGAACAGGGACTCAGCAGTAAGTTCAATTGGTTCAATTTGGGAATGCCACTCTAGGCCAGATTTGAACATGGCTTCCATCACTGTTTACTCTTCCGATTGGGGTCTATGTTGTATAGGGGTCTTAGGAGCAACATGAGCCACAGCCCAAGACTCATACTTATAAAAGCCTCCACCTACCAAAATGAGGGCACAGTCCAAGGACACCCAGGTGCCAGGACAATATTCTCAGTGTCACCTCTGCTCACTCCAAGTTTTACATCCTACCTCCACAAAGAACTATCTGAACCCAGATATACTGTCTGCTGCTCCTAAAAACCACGGTGGAAATACCAGTGCATTCAGCTGCTTCTCACTTCACCAGTTCTATTAGTATTGTTTAGGGGGAATTTCTTTGTACAATGTGGTCTCTTCTGCTTTCACTTTCCCCCAGGGAGAACTGATACAACCCTTCTCTACTCCTCAGCTTCTCTCTCTTCCCAGTTCCATTCTTTCTTCTATCTTGCCTCATATTGTTAGTCTTTTCATTTCCCCAAACTACCTTTTTGTGTTTCTTCATCCAATTCCTCATCATTTTGAAACTTCCTCTTTCTTCCTCCTTACCTTTAATGACCAGTGCCTCTATGATCTCTCACTGTCCCACTGCAGACCATGTAATCAGCTCTGTGACATTTGTTCAGACCCACAAACCATCTGGGCAGTACCTGCATGAATTTGATGAGCATGAGCTATTCCATGTGGACTTTGACCAGAAGGAAACAGTCTGGAGGCTTCCTGAGTTTGGGCACATCTTCAGTTTCGATGCACAGATTGGGCTAGGTGACATTGCTGTGGACATGGCTAACTTGAACCAACTTATCAAGCAAACCAACCACACCCAGGCCACCATTGGTATACAACTCTCCCACTCTGCTCTCTTCCCTGGGGTTAGCCAGTGTGGTATTGGTGGGGAGGAGGATACTAGGGGTTCCTGCTCTATAAAACACTTAGACTTTCCCCAACTCATGAGAATTCTGGACCCTCTTAGAAGAAGGTTCTATTTCTAGTAATTAATTCCTTTTCCCTAGAGTCCCTGGTTGGGGTCAGAGGGGATAAAAATATTCAGTCTCTCCTATACATTCCTACACATTCCAGGTTGGTTCAACCTACCTGAAGCCTCAGAAACTTTTTTTTTTTTTTGCTTAGGAATCTTGTTCCTGCCACCAGGGGCATCTGGAGTGAGCAGGACTTGTCCGCACTCACTTGAAAACCAAAGGGCTCAGAAGAAAGGAGATTTTGGGTCCAAATTAGCTGCTAGATGGCACAGTGGATACAGTGCCAGGCTTGGAGTTAGGAAGACCTGAGTTCAAATCTGGTCTCAAATGCTTACTAGATGTGTGACCCTGGGCAAGTCACTTAACCTCTGTTTGCCTCAGTTTCCTCATCTATAAAATAAGGATAATAATATCACCTCTCTCCCTGGATTGTTGTGAGGATCAAATCAGATAATGATTATAAAATGCTTAGCACTGTGTTTGACCCATAGTGAGTGCTATTTAAATGTAGCTATTATTATTATTATTATTATTATTAAATTCTTGGAACTTAGGAAAATTTAAAAGATGATTACATTTAAGATTCACTGTAGAATGAAGCTCCACAGATTTGATTTAGGCATTTAGGGGGAAAGTTTCAGTGCTCAAGGAACGTGTGTTTCCTAAATCCTCTATTTCATGGGAAAGGCAAAATTGCACTTCTGGGATTCAGCTGTGAGGCTATACTGACCATAGGGCCATTCACCAAGGCTGTGTTCTCCTGCAGTGACTCCAGAGGTGACAGTGTTTCCCAAGGAGCCCGTGGAACTGGAAGAACCCAACATCCTCATCTGCCACGTTGATAAGTTTTCACCCCCAGTGGTTAATGTCACATGGTTGTGCAATGGAGAACCAGTCACCACAGGGGTATCTGAGACTGCCTTAATGCCTCGGGATGACTATTCTTTCCATAAGTTCCATTATCTCACTTTCCTCCCCTCAGCCAATGATGTCTATGACTGTGTGGTTGAACACTGGAGCCTGGAAAAGCCACTTTTCAAGCATTGGGGTATGAATCAATACATTGGGGACCGCTGTCCTCCTACCCTCCTCAGTGACTGCTTTCTTCCACCTCATTAAGCACCAAACTCTTCCTTAAATCCAGGTCTCCTATTGCCCCCTCCCCAAATGACTTATGCCTCCAGATCCAATGTGCTAAAATTCAAAACCTCCTATTTTTTATGTGCTCTCTGATCTCATATTTTCTTCATTCCCTCAGAGCCTGAGATATTAACACCACCATCTGAGACAATGGAGACACTCCTCTGTATTCTAGGCCTGGCCGTGGGCCTGGTGGGCATCACTGTGGCTGCCTCCCTTATTATCAAAAGCTTGCACTTAGGCGAATGATGCCTGGCACCACAGATCAAATATCATCTTCTGCAAGAAATCTTTCCCAATCCTGCTTAACCTTACTGCCTTCCCCTGAGACCAGCTCCAGTTTATCCTGTATATGTCTTCCACGTTTGTAGCTGTGTGGTGTTTCCCTCATTAGACTGAGTTCCTTACAAGCTGGGATTGATATGGTTTTGCCTTTCTTTGTATCTACAGGACCTAGCACATAAGAGGCATTTGATAAATGTTGGTGACTATTGAGTGAGTCACCAAAGGGAAAAAAAGTGGAGAGAGATTCAGAAAAGGGAAAAGTATAGTGCAGAGAAACAGGAATCCTGTAGACAGAAGGGCCAGCAGGGGCAAATGGAGCAGAGATGTTACGGCAAGGAAAGGCACGTTAGTGAGCAGAAGATGGGGGTGGGGTGGGGGGGTGAGGGTGATGAGAGCAGAGGAGAGGAGATAGAAGGTTCAAAGAAGAGGAAGTCTGGGGGCCATTGTTCATCAGTATTGCTGGAGACGAGAGTCTTTCTATGAAATATGAGATGGCCTTTCTGTCCTACTGTACCCCCAAGTTCTGCTGTTCCACACTGACTCAAGTCTCTGCTCTCCCACACCCCCATCACTATTCACTAATTTTAAGAAAAGAGGTCTTTGGGAATTTGGAGGGATGGTGATCTATCAGGATTGAATTCTGATTTTTGAAATGAAGGGAACATGGCCTTAGAAGCAGCTGATGGCATTGTGCCATCATTGAGCCCTGGGCCTTGAGACACAAAGACTTGAGTTCAAATCTAACTTCAGACTGACTAGCTATGTAGCCCCGGGGGAGTCATTTAAACTCAGTGTCCTTGGGGATAAAATTGTACCTACCTTGAAGGGTTGTTGTGAAGATAGAATGGTGTTTGTAAAAAGTTCTTGATACAGTTCCTGGCACATGGTAGATATTTTTATAAAGCTATTCCCTTCCCCATCCCCTTATTTGCATTTAACTTTTGTCCTGGTAGTAGATGGGCAGAGGATGTGTTGTAGTTAGTAAGTTAAATTAGTTAGCTAAGTAATTTCTAAGTAAGCTGGGCTGAATACACATATGTACACACACATACACATACACACAGACACCATTAAATCAGGAAGCTTCTCAATTGCCCCAGAGTCAAAGATTATGGAACAGCTGTATGAGCTCAGTTCCCTAGATTAGTTATTATTGTCCAGTCATTTAAGTCATATCTGACTGTTTGTGTCCCCAGTTGAGGTTTTCTTGGCAAAAACATTGGAGTGGTTTGCCCTTTCTTTCTCCAGCTCATTTTACAGATGAGGAAACTGAGGCAAGCAGGATTAAGGGACTTGCCCAGGGTCACACACCAAAATATAGTTTATCAAATATTCTCTAACTATTTAGTTTATATCCTCTCCATTGCAAAGGTCAGTGGCCCAGTAGCCTTGTCTTCTATTCCTTATTTACGCCTATTTAGAAGAAGAGTGTTTGTATGTGGGCTGGGCAGCTGAGAGTATAGACACTGCCCAAATGGAGTAAGGGGCAGGTGGGATAATGCAATTGCTGAGACAATATCATTATGAACCAAAGTAGATTGACCAGCTTATGGAATAGCTGTGATGGAGGAAGAGATATCTGTGAGATATCTTAATCTTCTAGTATACATGAGGGCAGCAACATCTCTTGTTGCTGATCTGCTACCTACAAGGCAATCTTTACCAAAAATCCCGCTTTGAGACAAATTGTCTGCAGCTATTATATGTTTGCAAGTCTTAAATTTCTGTCTTTCCTTGTTTGCTCTAAGACAGAACTAGGCTAGGACTTCAATGAAAGAAGAGCTTTTGATTTGGAGACCAAATTTTGTGGTTAAATGTGAACAGACATCTACTTAGAAAATTTACTTTAACTCTCACGAATGAGTTTGATATCGCAGTGCATTTTCTCTAATCGAATGAAATCTTAGTTTTACTATGTGACATTGAGGTTTAAGTAATCGCAGCAACAATGGGACTTAGCAGGAAGAGTTTCTAGTCAGATGAGGGTAGATCTAATGATTGACAGGTAAGCCAAAACATAGCTCAAGATTAGTGACTGACTGGGGCAGGTAGGTGGTGCAGTGGATAGACCACTGGTGCTGAAGTCAGGAGGACCTGAGTTCAAATGTGGCCTCAGACTTGACACTTACTAGCCGTGTGACCCTGGGCAAGTCACTTAACCACAATTGCTTAAAAAAAAAAAAGGATTGGTGACTGAGTGTTCATAGGCAGCACATTTTTTTTTTATAAGCTCTCTTCATTGAAGGCTATCTTTTTCAAGTGGGAACATTCAGTTACATTGTTACAACACCTGGTCCCAAGCTATGAACTCATAGGAACTCAGTAAATGCTAATTGACTGGCAGTTCTTGTGGCTGATAAAACTCTCTGATCCTCCAAATCTGTCTCTTTTGTCTTCGTTCCAGCCTGTTCTTACCATTTAGTTCTCCATCTTATCTCCCGTCTTTCATGAACCACAATATTATATGAAATTAATTCCCTATGAAATATATAAAATTAATTTTACTGAAAATCTCGATGCCTAGAAAATGTAAACACTCAAGTATCAGAAGGTCAGAATGGGTGGTGTTGCCATTTGGGTAAGACATTATAAAAAGTGCCTGCAAATTACTTGACCATATTATGACATAATTCAATTAAACAAGTATTGATTAAGCATTTAATTTTTTTATTTCATTTTTAATTCACTGTGCAAGCATTGGGGAATATAAATATAAGATTACACACAATTTCTGTTCTCAAGGAATTTGTTGTTTATCCTTCTTTCTTGAGCCATGACATCAGGGAGGTGATGCCATGACACGCAAGTCACCAGCCTCCCTTTCTCCTCCAAAACCATCTGAGTGCAGTGACAAGACATAGATCAGCAGTCTGGAGATGGCCTGGGATGCAGAGGGAGACTTTGGCTTTTTTAAGCTAAGGTCTTTAAGGGTCTCAGTTTGACAGTTTCATATCCGTTCAGTGATTAAGTCTAGGTAAGAATGAGGCAGAGAATGGCCTCTTTTACCTAGTCAAAAAAAAATCATTCTGGGAGGGGAAGACCCTTAGGGTTTCCCGCCAAAATAGAAACAATTGCTATTTATAAACATTCTGAGCCAATCAGGGCCCAAACAATGACCAAGTAGGGCTTGACCTGGGACCTACTGCTCTTGCCTTTGAACTCAGGCAGGACTCCCAACTTCCATCACAGGTCCCTAAGCTATGGCAACTCCAGGTTCAAGATATTCTATGAGTCTGTAGCCACTCAAAAGCCATAGCTCATGAACCCTAATTTATACATTTCCTTTGCTAATCAGTAAGAGGACACAATTTAAATTAAAGAAATTTAATAAATAGTAAGTGAATAATAGGAAAGTAGCAACGCCCTGGGGGAAACCCTCCCACAATACATATACCATCAATGAGAAAAATGGACACATGATGAATATGTGTGCAGGAGCCTCAAAAGAACACATACGACCAGGGCACACATGGAGGGGCAACTTCCCTCCCCTGTTATGTGGTGGCTGATGTCTTTTGTAGATGTCACTGTATTGTTCCCACTGGACTTCCTTCCTCCTCTTATGGTGATATTCTTCTCTTCTGCCTTCTTGTGGTTACATAGTTTCTGTTGGGCTTTGGTAGTTGTGGTCTAGTATTCCTGGTTATATTGTTGTATTGCATGGCCCAGTATTGTAATTGTTGCCCATTGCTTCAAGGTGCAACTCTGTTGAGTATGTCACTGAATTAAAGAAAATTGTTCATGTATTTACTATTTGCTAGGGCAGCTAGTTTGGCTCAGTGCATAAAGTACTGGGCCCAGAGTCAGGAAACCCGAGTTCAACTGTGGTCTCAGACACTAGCTGTGCCATCCTGGGCAATCCACTTAACCTCTGCTTGCCTTAAGTCCACTGGAAGAGGAAGTGGTAAGCCACTCCGGTACCTTTGCCAAGAAAACCTGTAACAAAGAGTTGGACATGACTGAATTACTGAACAACATTTGCTAAATGCTGGGGATTCAAATACAGAAAGTAAAGATAACTCCTGTCCCCATAGAACTTACATTATGACGGTGGAGACAACAGAGAAAGGGGAGTAGCAGCCAGGGCAGAGCCCTATGGTCTGGAAAGTTACATGGTGGTTCAACATAGTCCATGAGGTGACAATGGCAGAATTTATTTGATCATGGTTCCTGGCACCAGAACTATAGAGTGGGAGTTAGGAGGGGTGTGGGGAAATCTACATATACAAAACCAGAACTGAAATAGTATTTCTGGAAGGGCAGTCACCAAGCAGGACAAGGAGGTCCCAGCGTCTAAGTTCCTCCAGGACATGGGTTCTGGTTTGAGTGGAAATGGTTGTGGAAGAGCTGGCTGGAGTGGATCTTCTCTCTACTTCAGGCTTGTGGCTTTAACTAGAATCCAGGCAGGGCTACTCTATCTTGCTCCTTTCTTGGTCTTCCTGAGACTAGTGATACCTGACAGAAACTATGTACTCTTCATAGGAGGTCTTGTAATAGCCTCTGCTTGTTTAAAGCCTCAAGGTTTCTCTGCTATAGGTCTTTCAGAGCTGTGGAGTCAAACTCAAGTAGAAACAGGCCCCTGCAGGCCACAAATTAACTTAGAAAACCACAGAGTAACTATCT